CTGTGGTAAATGTCCATGTAAAACAGGGCACTGGCAACTTGTAACACTCACCTTGTCCAGCCACAGTCGCGGCAGTGCGGACTGAGGATGGCGGCCGGCGGCCGATGGCCCCGCATTTGTTTGTTATTATCCAGACACAGTCCGGGGCTGTTCCAAAATAGCGACCTTTTGCGTATCCCGACTACAACGTACTTGTCACCACGCAACTGCATGTCCCACAACACTCTCTACACATCCTGATACAACGCTTCCAGACTCTTAGAGGGTTTGAACCGATGTTGTGTGTAAAAACTTCGGCCCAGTACCAAATACGAAGCTAAGTCGCGTCAATGGACTCCGCTGGCGGTAGACGCCGTCTCGATCAGACTGATCAAAACTCAACAAAAACGGGTCAATCCCAACAGATTTTATTTTGTTCCAGTAATGAGAGGTATGAGTGGTGGTAAACTCTTCGTGTAATAGGACAAAGGACAGTTTACCTAACGTTTGTCGGCCATTTCAACGCTTGGAAACTCGCTGTAGGCGCTGTAGCCCCAAAATGGCGTCGCACGGGACATGAGGGGTCGTGACGTCATGATGACGTGTGGTGAATAAGCTCTTATATATGCAGTAATGATACAAGGTAGACATATTAATGAATTCACAGTGGTGAGGAACCAGCTAAAACTGTGGAAAAAAAAACAGGTATGTCTCCAGGTTTACGTATATGGGCAAAAATAGGCAAAAGGAGGTGGATTTCAGGTCAGAAGACATCACACCTGAGTGAGAAGCCATTAAGTTTATGGTGATGACAGTTTTCACTGAGATCAGTTACCATTAAACACACCCCTTACACCATCACAGCCACGGTCCCAGTCGTTTGGAATAGGATCAGGTTCTAAAGAACGTGCTACAAAACTGTTCATATCCGAAACTACGATCCAAATTACACAATGTACACACGACCAAAAATCAGATGTACAAAAACTGCATGTGCACGCAAGTGTACAAATCCTCTGACGATTCAGATGTTTGAAATTGTATCCACTATATACTATCTTTCATCATTGTCAGTCATGCACTCAAAAATTAAGATAGCAGATGTTGTCTGAAAAGTCTGCAGAAAAGTCTTCAAAATATTTCCCGTTGCTTGAACTTGGTATCATGTTCCACCTGGATGTCTAACCTTCATGAAAATATCATTGATACTTTTTTTCCTCAGATCAGTGACCTTTACACACGTCCCTCCACACCATTATGGCCAACATTTGACACAGTCCAAAATGTATCACCGATCAGCTTCTGCAAAACTGTTCTGATCCAACTCTTACTGTGGAATCAATCGCCCATTTCCGGCTCAGCACTGCAGATAACTTTGCTCCAGAGTGCACGTGAAACACACGTCCATTTTATAGCCTGATAGCGTGATTACTGTACTTGTAACGCTATCCGGGTGTCGTGGTGAGGTGGATTACTACTAGTTCTACAGATTACGGCCGGGTTAATGTGCTTATATTACACACACACGTGGTTAATGGGACTCCCTTAGCATTAGGTTCTGTTACACTGGCAGACTGTGTAAAGGATCTGGGCTAATACCACATAAATTCTGTGGACCTTGTAAACTGAAAATAGCAAGGTCCTGAGTGACTGTATGTGGCAGGGTTGAAATATATATTTTGCGAATACTACGGAATAGGCATACAGGAAAACATTGGATGCACGAAATGAAATAAAGTAACTCTCAGCAAAACCTAATTAAAAACCTGCCTTTCTAACACTGAACTTGAATATGAGATTCTAATTTGCCAACTTTGTTATACCAAATACAGCAAAGGTATTAGTACAATGTAGTTTTCATGTCACATTGTATCACACGGGCCGGAACACCCGTACCGAACATAATCGCGGTCCAGGTATGACATAAATATAGAATACAACACGGTGTATTCCGTATCGCCCGAGGTACCAGCCCGACCGCGGGTCGGATCGCCTGACGGCCCAAGGCCCGCGTTAAGAACCCCCGGGCCATACCGCTAGTTATCACACGGGCCTGAACACCCGTATCGAATGTAATCGCGGCCCAGGTAGGACATAAATGTCAATATGCTGCACGTATGGTAAATTAAAACATAATCCACAAATATCTGGTACATCAATAGTCAGAAAGTAGGCACACAGCTCCAATTAGAAGTGCATGCATGATATACATTGTATGTACCAAGTGTTTCCAGCCCTGTAGAATATAATTCAGTCTACTGACTTCAATGTTATTGAAAAAGTGATACTTGAGGAGAAAAGTTATAAAATTCAATTTTCAAACCTAATTCGCCAGTCCTGCACATTGTCCCATCCTCAATTTGATGTTCGGGGACTATGATTGCTTTCAGCCTAATGATGAAGCCAAAATCCCCTACATCTACTTAACATAATATATTCATCCTTTATGGAAGGTCAAGGGCAAATTGGAGGGATTGAGAGGAAATAAGTGACTCAACTAGTAAATCTACCATAGGCTCCTGACCTATTACAATGAAATTGGTATTTTATCATGAAGTACTACCGCATATGTGTATAGTCCGAAGGGGGTATGCACAGATTAGGCCACAAAAATTTAATTTCTTGGTTAACGGATTCGCCCACTTCATTGTTTTCTGATTTGCAAATAAAAATAAAAATTCAGAATCAACTGCAAAATGCTCATATTTTGCCCTGAACAGTTGAAAACAGTCCTTTTCATCCTAGCTGTTACAGTTATTCCATCTTTCAATGCAATGGTATCATTAAAAGTTTAAAAGTCATTGTTTAAATTTTGAACCAGCCTGGTGTGTTGACTTCATGGCTCCTATTGTACCATTTTGGGCCATAATAGGATGCCTAGGCCTGTTTTTATTACTCCGTGAAGGAGGTCAGGACCTCCGGACGGAGTGTTGTGATCGGCTGATTTTTCATGTTCGCAGTCAAAACACTGGGTTCTCTTTGTGTAATCGGCACGCAATTTTATACGCCGTCTTCGGGCATGCCCGTGTTGATGCACGAATGTGTATTTTTGCCGTTGCAGCTTTCGCGGTCAATGTAATATTGCAGACGCACCCCTACAATTACGAGGCGAATTGGAATGGTCCAGAAAAACGCGTTGTTTGGAATAGCAGTGGGGGGGTGGAACGTCATGCAGATACGGGGTGGTTTTGATAAGTGGTTCCAGATGTTTTTTGCCAATGGTTAAGAGATGCCAAGTTTTTTGGAAGATGTTCGCAGCCAAAACGCATTCTTCCGTACGTCGCATTTTTGTGTAATTTCGCATGTGGTGTGGCATTATGTCCGGGATGATGCACGTCTTTTTATTTTTACCGTAGCTGTTTTGATATTGGAGTAAATGGTTATTTTCGAAACATCCCCATGTCGTTGAAATGTTGTCGTCCGTTTATGTCACCGGTAGTAAGTCGCGGCGGGGCTGATGGGGCGGAAATGTGGGGTGGTCAGAGGTCAACATTAGGAAATGTTAATACCGATGACGTAATCCTATCGATTTCAAACTGGTCGGGTGTGGCGACCTAGTGGCGGCATGTATTTAGTCACGTAGCAACTGGCCGGTCGTCCTAGCAACGACACATGGCCAATATTTTTGGGTTGTGCCGCTCCATAGTGTTAGTGGAGCAGCTCTTTGTAAACATGGACAATATTTTTGAGCAACCCATCAATGTGTTCTGCCTCGTGGTCGGATGTGGTCTGGGGCTGGTAAACCGCATATACAGTACTAGTAGATCGGGTAATTTTATGATTTGCTAGTTGTAAAGGCGTCGTGTAGTATGAGCCGGTATATGAAGAAGTAGCCTGTGTTACACAATCATGCTTTCGGCCGGATATTGATGTGCAACTGTTACTAATTACAGGGACTGCGCTAATGCCGACCAGTCGCGCTGTCCTGATACACCGCGAATGTGTGAGTGTTCCCTGTAGACAGTCCCGGGAGTCATTTTTTTGCACATTCCAGGAGCCAAACCAAAATACGTTCATGAACCGAGTCCAAAAAACCAAAACGTGAAAATCGGATGATCGGACCTGATGTACATTTCTCTTTCTGTAGATTGTACACACAATACACACATCTTTAGATAATCTGGCCATGGCAGGTAAAAAAAAGTAACCCTGAATCATACTAGATTAGCGTAAATGCATGTTTATGCGTTCAAAACAAGAAAAGAATTTGTTTCCCGGTATTAATCTCTTGAAACACGGCGCTGAATATTGACGCAAAAATATTTCGGGCATCGCGCGCCCTTCCCCGTTGTTTAGACTGTATGCAAATCCCGCGTCACGTGTCGGCATTTCGCATCTCTGATTGGTTGTTGCGTCTTAAGATGACTGAGCCGACGCGCGTTTAAACAATTTTTCTTTGTTCGATTTATCACACTTCACAGAGAATTGTCGCCAATGGCTACTTCTTTTTGTTGCAATATATAATACTTCACGGAGAATTGTCACCTATGGCTTTTTGTTTATTTTTTTTGCCCGCCCGTTCCATTATTTTTCTATAAAAATCTGTTAACCAAGAAATTAAATTGATGTGGCCTTAAGTTCAATTCCAAACTATGGCTTATGTAGTTATGATAAGTGGTGACCCAACCATTACTAAACCATTGCAGATTAACTATTTTTGTGTGCAGAGATTTGTATGGCCTATAGCATGAATGCAAAATTAATGCAGTACACTGATCCACACTATGAGTATGACTCGATTTACACACATGGGCAGAAACCTGTATGGAAACTGTGTATGCACCGGAGTAACTAAAAACTGCATACATGAATTTTTCCTGCATGTTATCCGGTCTGCTTTGACGTATGTCATGAACGCAGGTCCAGATTGTACATCATCCCGAGGGCTGGCATACGATCTGAATGTACGTACATCAAAGCAGGCCAATTTTCACAAAGGAAGTATTGACGAACACTGTTTTCAAACGCTGCCGTGCTTACATAGTACTACATCAGTTACTGTACATGTACATGTAACTTACCACTTGCAACTGTCAGATGATTTTTGTAAGCAAGATGAAGAACCAACAAGATAATGGGATAGATGTCAGATCCAGGGGGTCCCTCCAACTCTCTTGTTGATTTCTCAAATTTTCCTGCAGCAAAAAAAGAGCAAAATTTATGGTTTTAATAGACTTGCATAGAATTCCATGGACTAACTATCAATATTGTCAGCAGCCATGGGACCACTGGACTGGAAAGGCCCCCAAGCAAGACATTGGCTGAATATAGGACTCTGATCAATATCTTCACGCTGTGTTCCCTTCTGTAGAAACCTGTTATACCATGGCTGGCATATGTCACTGTGGGATCAAGAGTGTACAGGGCTCAAAATATATTTTGGGGTCAACTTGCACTGGTTCAGATAATAAAAATCACTACTGGTTGTCTTGCACGAAAAAGAAGTACAAGCGCAAGCAGCACAACCATATGTGTACATGTATGATCTTCTGTCCTCTTCCATACAAAATTGCATGCGGGAAAACATATTACATGCATTTTAAAGTGTACATGAAAAATCAAAATCTTTCTTAGACTACATATCAAGTTGTTATATAATTACACATGGATGTGGCTACTCCGTCACAACAAGCACCACTATTACTATTAGTAGTACAAATTAAGGCCACAGCAATTTAATTTCTTGGTTAAGGGATTCGCCCACTTCATTTTTTTCTGATTTGCAAATAAAAATAAAAATTCAGAATCAACTGCAAAATGCTCATATTTTGCCCTGAACAGTTGAAAACAGTCCTTTTCTTCCTAGTTGTTACAGTTAATCCATCTTTCAATTTGCAATGGTATCATTAAAACTTCAAAATTCATTGTTTAGATTTTGAACCAGCCTGGTGTGTTGACTTTATGGCTCCTATCGTACCATTTTGGGCCATTATAGGATGCCTAGGCCTGTTTTTATTTTTGTTTTTTTTCCACCCGCCCGCTCCATTATTTTTCTAGAAAAATCCGTTAACCAACAAATTATCAAATTGGTGTGGCCTAAACTGATATTGCACTCAAGTCAAAGAAGTGCAAAGAGACATTCACACCTCGCGCCCGCTGGTAGAGCCAGAAATGTCTATAAAACGTCTAACAGACATTTAACATTCTCGAAAGTTTCGGAAATTTTTAAAACATTTGTAAGAATGTCTTTCCCAGGTCTTTACAGGGTCTTTTTGGGGAGGACTTGTTTGTTGTGTTTTCCATTGTTCATGAGGTGTCTGTGAAAAAAAGTGTGAAAACTGGCATCCATTAAGGTCTCATTCCGGTATTCTTCCGCGTGGGTACTCTAAAGTAGATCGTACTAAAAATTAAATGCGTGTATGGATGTGTGTTTATATCCGCCAGAAATTGCATTTTAGCTAAGTCAGTTGGCGTAAACCGCTTGTGATATGAATGGTTGTTTGTATGTGCTAAAATTAGTGGGTAAGTGTTGACATCCGCGCGACAGGTCGGATGTTTACACGCTGTTGTGATGGGTAATGCGGTCAGGAGGTAGCAGCGCTGGAGGACCTCTGGCGGAGAGTGGCCAAGTGCAGTTTATAAATAAATAAAAAGAGATTGTTGGGTTAGATCTGGTTGGGAATTTTTTGACGTAATGTAGGGCCATTGTGCTCAAAATTGATTGGATAGACTAGATGGCTGTCATTCAAATTATTGGGTTTTGGCCTATGTAAAGTTACATATTTTGCCATAGGCGGCCATAGTTAACAAAAACTCAAGAATGAGACCTTAAATGAAAAGCACTGCACAAAGCCAAGACAATTTAGAGGGCAGGACACAATTAATTAATGGACAGATGCTAATATCTTTATAATGACAATGACAATATAATATAAGTGCACATTGTGCTAAACAAAGGACTGTCTTCTTCTTCTTCTTCCGGTAATGTCCAACTGCCGATACCGGCAATAATTGACATGTCTCGGGTCGAAGGTCACCAGCGTGACTGAGTCTAGGCCGGACTGGACACCCTCGAGACAAAGGTGGCCAAAGACGGGGATTGGACAGTGTCTGTGGGCAGGGCGTTCCAATCGCGGATAGTGCGAGGAAGAAAGGAATAGTGTTTGTAGTTCGTGCGGCAAGTTATGTCCTGGAGCTGTTGACTGTGGCCTCTCCGGCTTCTCCTGCTGCCAGACACGGGCTTCAAGGCGTCGCATCTCACACATGCAAGGTCATGCTGGATCTTGTACATCATGGCGAGTCTGGTGGTACGGCGGCGGCCTTGGAGAGAAGCCCACTGTAACTCATCCAACATGTCAGAGACACTAGAGGTGTTTCGGTGTCTGTTCAGAACGAAGCGTGCTGCCCTTCGCTGTCTCCTAGGGGTGTCCCTACCTGACGTGTGAAGAGATTATGGATATAAAATGTCCACCTTGGGTTATATCGATGTTGTTTTTCAGTAACTATGTAACTTAATGTTCTCCTGACTGGCCTTTGTTCAGCGATGTCTAAATCATGTCTAATGTCCGCTAGACATTTTATAGAAATTTTTGGCTCTACCCTTCATGTACAATGACATTCTAAAATCCAACATTTGCTGTATATGATGTACATGTATGAATCCATATTTTCATGTCATCATCAATCCTTGATGTGCCACAAGTAAATGTTGACCAATCCATCATCATTAGTAAAGCAAACTAGGCTAAAATTAATATTGACATCTGGTCCTCACATCATACATCATAGATACTGGCCACACACAGGCAAGCTACATGAATTATACAATCAAAACTCTCCTGGTATGTTTTTAATATCATGGAAAGCTAGCAATCATGATTGTAGATTTTTCCTTCACAATGTCATGATTTCCATGCCATGCATCAAATTTAACAGAATCTTTCAGCTTATTCCTGGATAAAATAACTGGTACATGTACATAGAATTAGTAAGTTCTACACAATCTATACTTTTTAACATACAATTCACATGTACTCTGCAATGTAGATCTAGGTTTGAAATACCCACTCTCACACGCTCGCTGCACAAGGCATGGTTTCTGCAGTGTGAGAGACTTATTGGGAAATTGAATACGACCTGAAACGAGACATTCTACAATGCACAATACATTATGGGTTTCGCGCTGGCATGGTATGTGTAGTTTCTGTCAACGTGCTGAAATAATCCTTCATAAGTCCATATAAGCCTGTGTTGCAGATAGGAGAAAACATAAACATTAGCCTATCTCTCCAGTACACAGGCTCTGGGTTATTTTGAGAGCCAGGGATGTCCACATGGCTGCTGAGTTATGAACAGAATGTTCTACTGTCAGATAACAACACAGTTCAGGGCTTGAAATTCTGGGTGCAGGTACAGTGTACATGTACATGTAAAATTGGGTGCAGGTACAATTGGAGCTGTGCAGGTACATGTATAATTTCTGATGTCTACAACACATGTCAGTTTCTAAACAGTTTTTAGCATTATGATCCATACTTCCTAAATTCTGAGTAGTGCAGGTAAAATTTGTCTGGTGCAGGTACATTTGTACAGTTATGTACATGTACATGTAATTCCCAATGCCTGCATCAGTAGTGCAGGTACATGTATATATGTATGCAAAAAAAAAGGGGATTTCAATCCCTGCAGTTTCAAGCTGCAATCCCCCCAAAAAAAACAGAGATGACCTACATGTAGTAACCTTGAAACAATTTATTATGTTAAACAAGTCCATAACAACTCAGCATCAGGGAGTTATCGTTATGTTTGATCAATGTTGGTTTTTATAGATTTTTAGAACATTTTAGACAACTCAGACGTTAAACGGATAGTAAGTGTTGTGAGTGAGTGTAGATGGTTGTAATTTTTGATTGGTTGGTTGATTAATTTTAAATTTATCAACCAACCAATCACTGTACACTGTCTTCCTAGCTTAACCAGCATATTAATAATCAACTTCAAAGGTTTACTGTAGTCTCTAATGGCCAGAGAAATGGTTGCTTCTACCCCACAGTCAAGTGCCTGTGAGTTGGTGTCCCCGTGGTAATAGCCATGCCATATCTTGTACTCAAACACTACTTGACCCCAGTGACCGGAGGTACACAGAAGCAGACTGCAGGGCTCCTGAGCACTCAGACCCTCCACTGTTTGGGTTGTGTCCTTACAGAAGTGGAAAGAAAGCCTTCTTGTTGACCGTGATATATTGATATGAATCGATAAAGACCTTCATTGTACAGTTTTGTCCCACTTGGCTTGGCTATATTGTACATGAACATTAATTTTGTATTATGTACATGTACAGGCTGGCCCAAGTAAAGCCTCAGTCACAACCCACCGTGCGTGCTTTTTGTCCGTACGTTTTATTGGGAGGCCACGTCTGCTACGTTTTTTTGAAAACATAGGGAAGGAGTGGCATCGACGCACGTCACTCGCACAGTTGCTGTGGTCTGCTCGCCAAGTCTGGTCGTGAGCGGTTGCATGCATCGTTCGTTGCGCAAGTGGTAAGTGTGTCTCTGTGTGACTGTAACTTTACCGTAAGGAGGCCGTATTCAAACGTGCTTCTCACGTGCGGTATGTACGGGGCACGCGCGTCGCCCGTACTCTCACGCACGGGTGGTGAATCCGCAGATCTAGACCACACGCAGAAAAAGTCCTACGCCGTGTCTGCGTGCTCCCAAATCCGTATGATTCCGTACGGAGGCGGTACTCACCACGCATGGATGCCCTACGATTGCCCACGTTTTTGCACATAGACAGCACGCAGAAGCACGTGCGGCAGATTGTGACCGAGGCTTATAGAAATCTTTTACAATCAAACTTGCCCAAGCGACCACCTTCAAAATCCACCATCTGATAGTGACCGCTTTTTCTTGGTCCTGATTTTTGCCTCCATAGACAGTAACAGGACTTGTCTAAGCTGATCCCTGTCCAATGGCCCTAGCTCCCTATTTATCATAAAGCATGACATTTCCTGAATTCAGCATAATACATGGCCAGCTCTCAAAATTTAGCATAGAGCGTTGTCAGGACCCTCCCATGCAGGCCATATGGCTGAAACCATTTCTTCAGTTGCTGAAGACTAGTAAGAAATCTTGTTGCTGGGTCAATGGACAGTCTATCTGTAACATACATGTAGCTGGAAGTTGTGCTGC